AAAATCAGCCGCCAGGTGATCCACCTCAATGTTCCACTCCTCGGGAAACGTCTCCCCCTTGGCTTCTCAAATGTTATGCAGAGCACAGCAGGCTGCTATGACCATGGGACTATTTTCCTCATTGAGGTTCAGCTTGCCAAAAAGGCAGTGCCAGAGACCGTTTAAATCACCAAACACACATTCTATGGTCATTCTGGACCTGCTGCTGTCAATGTTTCCGATGTAAGGCTTCATGGACCCAGAAGTAAAGGGTAGGCTGGGTCTCCCAGGATCACTATGGGCATTTCCACATCCCCTATTGGAATCTTCTCATCCGGAAAGAAAGTCCCTGCATGCAGCTTTCTATACAGGTCAGTGTTCCTGAAGATGAATGCATCATGCACCTCCCTGACCACCCCACGCTGATGTCAGTGAAATGACCCTGGTGATCCACCAGCACCTGCAATACCATACAGAAGTAGCCCTTTCTGTTGGTGTATTCCATCACAACATGGTCTGGGGCCAAAATTGAGATATGCATGCCATCTATCACCCTGCCGCAGTTAGGGAATCCCATTGCTGCAACGCCATCCACTATTTCCCATACATTGCCCAGAGTCACAGTCCTTTGTAGCAGGAGGCAATTAATGGCCCTGCATACTTGCATCAACACAACCTCGACAATGGGTTTCTGATCTTCAAACTGATTCACGACTAACCAGTAGCAGACTGAAGTTGCCAGCTTCCAAACAGCAATCGCCACATTCTTTGCCACTACTAAGGCAGCTCTCATTTTGGTGTCCTGACGCTGCAGGGCAGGGATGAGCTCCGCATGCCGTTCAAGGAAGGTGGCTTTGTGCATACAAAAGTTGTGCAGCCACTGCTCGACATCCCATGCTTACATCACAATCTGATCCCACCACCCAGTGCTTGTTTCCCCAAGCCCAATAGCGACAGTCCACCATATGCAGCTGCTCCATGAATGTCAACATCAATCTTGAATTTTTTCTTTCCATGGCACACAGCAGGGCAGGCAGCATGGATTCCTGTTCAGATTCACAGCTCATGAAATACTGCAGGGTCAGCCACGTTGTGTTCTTAACGCTCATCACAAGACTGGTGAGCAGTGCAGGATCTATGCTTTCAGGCAGAGATGGCAGACGCAACTTTACAGGGGCAGTTGAAAAACAGCACAAAACGTAGTCAGAAGCCCTTGGAATTGTGGGACAGAGAAAATTGCATCATGGGGCAGTAATCCCATTCCCATGATGCATTTTGATCCATTCCCAGAACTCTTAGCGGAAGAAGGTGGTAATTTGCATAATGGGATAGCTACCCATGGTGTACTGCTGTCTCTGTTGGTGCTAGAGCACCAACTGTGGATAAGCTCCGCCAACACAAGGAGCATTGTGTGAACATGCAGAAGCGACGTAATAACAGTAGTTTATAATCATCAACGTAACTTAAGTTGACTTAACTCTGTAGTGTAGCCATGGCCTAAGTCTCTCTCATGCCCTATGCCCTTCTCCCCATCACCATCACAAAGCAACCACACCATAAATTAGCTGTAAAAAGTCGCTTATATTGAATACACAAGAGAATCTAAAATTTAAGATGCCCTCAACATTGCATATGCAAGTTTAGATTTGACACTTGAAATCTACTCACATCTGCAGTAAGTGTTTGATCTCTAGGATGATTTTTATTGAATAATTACCTGGATTTAAACAGCACTCGCAGTGTGGATTTAAAGCGCTATTTATTTGTTGACATTTTCACCAAAGATTGCAATAAATTAGATATGTTATTAAGTTTCATGACATTTCACAGCATGCTCAAACTGAGTTATTTTTACTAAGGAGATAAGATTAAAAAACCTTTATTCTACCTGCATAATAAATTTAGTACAGGTTTATCAAACAGCCAAGACTTATTCAGGTCAGACAAATATTCTGTCACTGAAAGTCTTCAAACAGTTTCTTCAACTGACTTAAATCACTCAAAAAGATGGCAAAACAAGGATTATCTAATTCCCACAAACTCCCTCCAATGAATGACACTGCTCTACAATTCCAATAAGAGGTATCGAGCAATTCTATGTACCCTTCTAAACTAGAATTATTTTAATTCACAACCAATCAATTTTAAGATATATTATAAAACTGTTTGGCATAAATTGCTTAACAATCACATCCAGATTATCAGTTAGGAAATTTCAGCAACCTTCCCTGAACATACCCATAGCATTCAATATCATCAATACAAAAAAACCAAAACATATTACACCAATGTTAGGGTGGACCCAAATTATTTTTTTCGTTTTTGTCTCAGCTCCTTAGTTATATTGCGATAACGAGATTTAGCAGAAGTCATTCATTTCTCCTTCCTTTTTAAAAAATTCTCTTGCATGATTGTTCATCACTGCATCATTATTTCTATCTCAGACACATTCCCCACCACTTTCACAGTACTATCTGTAGGGGTGGCAATCCCAAATCTGATTGTGACTCTAGATGGGAAGCCAAAAAAAAAAGTCATCTGACAAAGAAGCCATAATTTGAGCTATTATGTGAGGATTCTCAGGTTTAGAACCAATCTTAAAATAGGACAAATTCATGTGAAGTATGTTACAGATCAGCATAAACTGATCAAATTTACATGCTGAGAAACTGGAAGAGCAGGACTGTACCACAAAAAGCAACCAAGGACAGGTATAAGAAATAAAACTGAAGGAACTGCTCTCTTACACCCTCCTGTTGGTTGCTTTTTCTGCTTCTACAGAAGCACACATTTCTCCCCCCACAGTCCTATGCACTAATTTACCAATGCGTAATTTGCACAGTCATTTATATTGCTTCTGAATTTGGCCCAAGGTTTCCAAGTCCATGGAAATACTGTTCCAATAGAAACTGCTGTATTTTCCCTCTGGTGAATGAAGTGGGGTACCAGCTGAGCTAATTAATCAAGCATCATTGCCAATAGCTTCTAGAAGGAACCACATAGCTTAGCCTCCTATCTCAAGAGAACAAGTCCTGAAAAGCACTGTGCAGTGGAGGAGGGAAAATGATGTAAAGTTAGACAAGGAATAATAAAGCCGGTCCAAACATACTAGTTTTCTAGTCTTCTAGCAGATTATAATTCTCATATCTGGGGAGCTCAACAACCAAAAACCTACCAGATATTTTCACAGCATAACTTTCTTCGGATGTTTTATTATGATTATATTTTAAAACTCCTTGAAACGAAATGATATAAAGAGATTTGACAAACTGGTTGCCCACCAATTTTCTTTATTCACATCTGAGAAAGCTAAAAAAACCTGTTGTATAAATCTGTACCATTAAATTAAAATGTCTGTCAATACTATGTAATTCCAAAGAATCAAGCCTACTCAGCAATATAGTAAGTTCCAAAATTTTTCCAGCATTTAAACAGCCACTCATTAAATTGCTTTTCACTAAGAATATCTGCATTTCACAGTGAATCAGGTAGCTTTACTTGCCAAATTGCAAATGCACTTTAGCTGATCAGAATTTCCTTGAGGCATATGCTAATCAAACAATTGTACTATAACTGCTGAAACTGCTCCCAGAGAAGGAGGCAGCTAAGGAAATTGCTCACTATTGCAGGCTGCCAGAAGAAGCGGGGGGGGGGGGGGGGGGGAAGGATGTGTGCACGCGCGCACAAGGGAAGAGACTAAATCAGTGGTTCTTAAAGTGGAGGGAGGGGGAGGTTACATCAACTCATCTAGGATATTTGCCTAGTTTTACAACAGGCTACATAAAAAGCACTAGTGAAGTCAGTAAACTAAAATTTCATACAATTACTTGTTTATATTGCTCTATATACTATACAATATTTATATTTCAATTGATTTTATAATACTATGGTAAAAATGAGAAAGTAATCAGTTTTTTCAGTAATAGTGTGGCTGTGACACTTGTATTTTTATGTCTGATTTTGTAAGCAAGTAGTTTTTAAGTGAGGTGAAACCTGGGGTACACAAGACAAATCAGACTCCTGAAAGGGGTACGGTAGTCTGGAAAGGTTGAGAACCACTGCTCTAAATACATTAGCTCTGAGGAGAAACATGGGAGTTTAATTTTTTAGACATTCAAGCAAGACACACACTTGCTTGATTTGGCTAAGAACTAACCATTAGCTGAAATACAGTAATTTTTTTTTAAGCTAAAATAATGCTTCCTGATTTGTACGATTGCAAAAATGTTACCTATCAGCAACTCATCTTTCTTAAATTCTGATGTGCATAGGAGTTAAAACAGCAAGAACTAAAAGCAACGTGAACATCTAAAACAGCACAATCTCAAGTCATTTAAAACATACATCTCTTAAGGGAAAGTCTTCATTCTTTTGTAAATGATTGACTTAAACCTAAAATGCAAATTTGTTTGAGCAAAATAATACAAATTAATATTCCAGCTCCACCCCTGCCAGACTAAATCATTATTTTTACTACTTGATAAGATTTCATCTTATTATTAATTATTTGAATGCCCAAGAGACTCAGTCTGGGCCAGAACCCCATTGTGCTAGGGGCTGTACACACAGAACAAAAAGATGGCCCCTATCTTTTATGGCGTAAAGATTGGAAGGAAAGGAGGAGGAAGAACTTTCTGTAAGAAATCCTGAAAACGAATTGTCCTAAATTTCAGAATCAATTGCTTACATGCCAGTTAGTAGTTAGTTTTGGACCCTTATTAAATTATCACATTTTATTTTATAAGACGTGAAACATGACACCAACCTTGTGTAGGTCATTTCAATCAAGTTACAGACCAGAATAAAAATTGGCTTGCCAAGACCCACTAGTGACAAACTATGTTTGAATTTAGTTTTGCTATCCAGATTAAAAGATATTTTAGACCGGTGTTTGAAATAAGCCTTAGTGAAAATCTAAGATACACTTCTGTCAGATGCATCTGGCAAAGATCAACAAACCACACAAGTCAGATTCAAATGATACACTGAGGAACTGACTGAAGAAAAATCAGAAACTGTACCTGAAAGGAAGGCTAATTTTTTCTTCAGAATAGGTAATATTACGGTAGCTTCCATTCTACTTCAGTTAACTTTCACAGCTCTGAAACACAAGAAATTAAGAGTGTCAACTTTGGGAAATCAATTACCATGCTACACTAGAACAAGAGTTGGCTTGTGCCAGCACAGTTTTGTACTTACTTTTTAGAGAGCAGCACAGAATACTTTATAACTCAAACTGTGATATAACATTTGAATTGCATTATGTTGCAAAACTGAGGAAAAACTCCAGATCAATGTCAATCATTTTTCCATTGTAAATCTTTTAAGTCACTATTATTTCTCTTTATTATCTGAAAGCTACCTAGGGTTTTTTTATTATTTTAGCATTAAGTTTCATAGACTCTTCAAAGTTAAATTCATTTTATTTTCAACACACTAAATACAAACCCATGAGACATACATAGCTTAAATGCCCTTACTCAAGATGGGGAAAAAACATTAAAATAGAAGCAGTTTATAAGTAGATCATCTCTTATAATCTTGTCATTCTTGTGTAATGGAATAGGTGTGACTAAACCTAGTGCCCCTGTTCACATTTGATAGGGTTTCTCTCAAAGCACCAGAATTACAATGATTAAAAGAGTAATTATCTTTATATTGTACACAAGTTAATGCATTACCAAATTAATATCTCAATGCATTTATTACCAAACTCAGATTGAAGACAAACTGTTTGCAAACAATCTAATTAGTCCTTTCTGTTGCTTCATCATCTTTTAATCTATTGTTTAATGTATAGGTGGAGATGTTTCTGCTTTTCTCCCCCTACTTTCATGAATTCAGCCCAAATTCACAAAGAGTGTCAGTGACCCAAAAACAAATTGAAGGGGAGAATTCACCCAGCTCTGCAGCATAGCAAACCTCTCACAATCCTAATAATTTACACACGCTGTTTCTGCTGGGCCATGGGAGCTGCAAATTTCAATAGAAGAAGCAGGATTGAGCCAATATAACATTGTCCCATGTCCTAAAGTTCCAAGGAAACTCCTACATACTATTTCAACATGATTGGGCTTCACAATATTGGAGACGTGGCTCAGGAAGGAGAAATAGAAGGCAGGGCAAGGGTAAAGCTCCAAACCACCATGAACTTCCATATGCACAGGGATTCTCCTGCTAAGACACATCCTGCAAAAGGCCAACATTATTTTATGCCAGCTTCCACTCTGTAACTCAAGACCTTCCTTCCACCAAGGGTGGGCTTTTTTGGTTTATGCATTTTCAGGGAACCAGAAAGAACACAGCTCAAATGTGCAAAACTGGTTACTTAAAATCTCAATTTTTTTTAAACTACTATGTTAATTTTCTTCTGATTTGAATTTTAAGCTTCAAGGAAAGCAACACATCAAGTTTGAATTTTCTAGTGTCATTCATTTTTAAGTTATCCAAGAGTGAAATTTCTGATTGGAACATATGAGGAAAATTTTTTCAAAGCATGTGTAACTCAAAAAATGACGGAAATGGTTTGGCTCAGACTTTTTTAAAGTTACCTTTTGGCTAAGACAAATTTCAGCATAAAAAGATCTTATCTGAAAAAGCTATGAATGCATGAAAGACTTATAATAAAATCTAGACCTATAAGAAAATCAGCATCAGTGATAGCATGCACCACTTGAATACATTTTATACATAGATCTATCACACACACACACCCCTATACAAATCTGTGTGTGGATGCACACACACAAAACCAATCATGGCCATGTCCCATCATCGGTGGGGATCGAATCCATAGAATCAAACAGCACCAGAAGTATCTGAGCCACCACCTGAGCTAAAGGAGAACTTACTTAGTTGTGACAATACAAAGTTGTACAGTAAGCAGTGCCTGCCAGCAGAGGGAGCCACGATCACACCCACATCACTAGGTCAGTGCATTGTTTGTGTGTGACTACATGCAGGAAAAAGGGAGAGAGAACGCATGATGGTATGGTGTGGGCTTATAAAGGTTTTGCCAGCATGAATTTGGTGCGGATGTGTTACAAGTGATAAACCCACACAAGTAAAGCAGATTATCCTAAACAAGTGCCAATACATTTTTACTATCACACTACCATATATTCTGTACATGCCACATTTTACAGAAAATATTTTAGAAATGTTTTCAAAAACTTTTTAAATCCTCAATACAAAATACTTTGAATTATAGATCTTATGCTTTATCAAATTACCACTCTGATCTGGAGTACATTTTTAAATTCACATATAAATGCAGAACATGATGCTACAGTATATGTGACATACACTGAGTAGGGGAAGCAGTGCAGAAGAGCTAAATTTCCTTGTGCAAAATTACAAACTCTTCCTCTCATTACAGCAAAAATGCTTCTTACTGCCAAATTAATTTAGTCATCAGGAACAAATGATCACACACCCAACAGAGGGTGGAGTGGTTTGATCACACCAGCAAGGAAAAGCAACCCCTGGGGTCCCGAGAGAAGGGAGGGGCAGGCTTGACTGCTCTGTGATCTTCCCCTCTCCAACATCCAGAATGCAACTCACAAGTAGAGATCATTGGGGGGGTGGGGAGGAAAGTCACTGAATTCTCCATCTCTCCCTTCTGCTGTTGGGAGGCTGGGGAAAGAGGGGAGAGTTGATTGTCTCACGCTCCTCCCCTTCCTGTGTATAAAGCCCCGGGGCCATGCAGCCGCCATTCTGCTCTGATTGCTGCTAAAGAAACAGCAGCTGCCTGAAAGAAGCCATATTGACAACACTTATTTATATTAGAGCCTTTACACTCATTTGCAAACAACGCGGGCATGGTTAAGTTATGAAGCTGAGGGCCCCAGTTTCCTACAGTGCAGGAGTGGACAGTTATAAGGAAATTAACTTGCACCAATTGGCTCACTCTCTGGATGACTCTTTTGGCAGGAAGATGTGATTTGGGTGAACTCACTCACCAATTAGGAACATTTCCATAGATGGCAGAATGCCTGGGGAGTCCTACTCACCCCCTGAAAAAAAGAGACAATCCAGAGAATGACATACCTGGAAATCAAATTGGTAGGTGTATCACGCCTAAGGAAAATCTGGACAAATTAGGTATGTTAATACAAGAGATGAAGGGTTTTGGCAAAGTAACTCCAAAGCAGCTGCATGTAATTACGGGCTCTTTAAATTTTGCCCCTAACTGTCCTGGTCAGGGCTTTTGTGTACACTTAGTAGCAACCACCTTGGCAATTAAGGAGCCTCATTATTTTGACAAAGAAAAAGAGGAAATACTTGAGTGTGGGAGGCATTTTTTAAATAGTTTAAGGAAATGATATGATTGGATGCCAGGTTGAAATTTACAGGTACAAGTGGATGCCACAGTGGATGTTGGATCAGTAGAGGCTTTGCCCCCAGAGCAAGTTTTTGCAGTGCAGAGGCAATGCTGTTTAAGGCAGAATTTGCTGTGGCTTTTCAGTCCCTTCTGGAGCATCAACAGGCCGCTCCAAGCACACACTGGAACTGGAAGAGGTGCAGGTTAAATAACGGTCAATAAGCAGAAGTTGAAGCCCAGAATAGAACTAAGAGAATGCCTAGATGAACAGTTATGCCCAATTAAATCCAGAACAACATTTTCTGACTTGGTGTTCGTAAGAGCCAGCCTTTTATTGTATTATACTGGGATGCCAGTTACTTGACCAGAAATCCATTTGCTGCAGTATTAAGAAAGGTGTTAGCCTGCTTGGGGTACAATACAGCAAGATTTGGTAAGTATTCCTTCAGGAATGATGTGGCAACATCTGCAGCTTTGAAGGCATTTGATTCACGGAGGGGTCCAGGTGACCGGGCTCTGGCTAATATAATGTTATATAACCAATGCCCACTCTTCAGTGGGGACTAGCAGGGCAGGGGGAGAATACAAGCTAAACCTCTTTCTGCTTGCAATTTTCAGGAGACATTGGAAACAAGATGATTTGCTGCACTTGATGATAGTGCACTGAGCCCACAAGAGGACAGGAGAACACCAGGTGGATCAGAGCTGGGCTTCAGGCTGCAACAGTCAGCTTTGGATGACTGCAGGGGAGGGGCATGTTGTGGCACAAGCTAATGCCTTTCCTGCACTCCCTGATGGGAGAATCACATTCATCTAATGTCTTGATTATTCATTTAATAGAGAACGATCTTGGGGTTTGTACCAGGGTGAATTATAGTGTCAGAATTTAACAGGAACGTAGGCTGGATTATCCACTAGTGGCTGGGCACCAAACGAGGTTTGGTTAAAGATGTTTGCAAAGCAGGTATTTCAACTCTGCTAGTGTGAATCGGGCCTGGACCAATTGGTCACTGATCTATTTTGGTGAGATGACAACTACACACAGAAAAATCAAGTACGATGTTTCTCAGCTCTACAAGGAAGATGAGCACGTTGAACAGATACAAGGACCTGCATATGACTGTGATAACTTAGACTGCATTGATGGGAGACTGCACAAATGGATGGCAGATACCAGAAAGTGGTGTGGGGGTTATGGCCAAGCTACTTACTGGTGCCCCCGGTGGCTGGTGTGCAAATTAAGTCATTTTACAGCAACTAAAGCAGTGCTTAATTTGTACCATGGCTTGCCAAGGCTGAGCCCTGGCACCTCTAGGCTTGGCAGTTCATAGCCCTGGCACTTCTGGGCTTGCCGCATCAGTTACAGAAGTAAAAAAAAACTGCTTGAGCCCCAGCAGCTAATTGCTTGAGCCCCGGCATCTCTTTCATTACAAATTAAGCACTGAACTAAAGGCATAGGTTTTTTGACTGACTTTTTTGAAGGTATCTCTGTAGACACCTTTATGTCTACACACATGGCTTTTTCTGACCCAAAACATTTTGATTCCCCTCATTTTTAGGTTTCAAAAAAACAATACATTTAAATCAGTGAACAATTACAAGTTTGAGAGAAGAAATTGTATTTCATGCCTTGCCAGAGTTTGCAGAGGCTATTTGAGCTTTGTTGTGAAGAAATATTGTAGTGATTTGTTTGTTTGTACCAAACTTTCTCCTCTCTATTCCCCAAAGGACAATGTGTTTATCAATGCCCTTCTTTTGATGAACAAACCAATCTACAT